TGAATAGTCTTTTAGAATTTATTCAGTAAGACAAAATTTATCTCTGTGCCCAGCAGAAGGAATATTTGAGATAAAGTCCATACACCTATCAAAACTGGTAGGGCAGGATGCTGCTATATCTTCTAGCAATCTGTTTGTCTCCTTAAGCATATGCTTTTCTCTAAGACAACTCAGCTATATGGAATCCTGTGTTGCTGTTATTAGACTTGTGTTCTCACCTAGTTTGATTAAGGTTATCCTTAATAGTCAGTGTAGCTAGATAGAACACCTAAAAAAGTTATTCTCAAACACCACATGCAAAGTTAGATGACTATAAAACAAAATAAAGTGAAAAAATGAGTAAGTTTTTGGAACCAAAGCTTCTTTTAAAAATACACTGAAAGTGTACTCATATGTTGCAGTTGGGTTTTGAAAATGTATCTTAGAAAGGCATATTTTTGAGAAACATCAAGCCTGAGCTGGATTTGAATCCATCTTCCTCTAAAATTTAGTACAGCACATTATTATTATTTAGAAATATTTCAAGTCACAGAACAGTGGGAAAAATATGATTCTATTCATTATACAGTTACTTATTCTTTTAACATGCTGTGAACTTCATTGTGCAGAGAACATTACAATTAAATATATTGATCAGAACAGACATAAATGCTCACGCTAAGTAATAATGGTAATACTATCAGGTCACTGATATTCATTTTTGTGAAGTGATAATTTTATTGGAGAACAATATTCAAGATGTAAACATTTATTGTGCTTTTATAGACAATTGTTTCATTAAGTGTTTAGTGAGCATTGGCATCACAGGGAGAAAATTGTGTACCTCAGCTGCTGTCATGCCTGTGGCTGTAATGAAGTCTCTGTAGTAATCTAGTTGTATTGAATTAGGAAAAAATTAAATTCTAATTGTCAACATAAAGCCCAGCAAACTGTCAGTAAAAGCATACTGACTTAAGCCTTGTTGACATTGATGACAAAATGGTACTTTGTGGCCAAGGAAAAATAACAGATTCTTCTGCATTATTAAACTTCAAATCACATAAATTATGTAATCAACTGACTTTTTGTACACCTTGGTAATGAAGTTACTTGCGTATATATTTTTCCTTAGATTTTCAAGGGTGCAAAGGGATTTCCAGATGTCTTCATCAGAAAATTTTGAAGTGTTGTGTACAAGTCTACCTTCACTTCTGAAAGTTACAAGAAGAAAAATCTTGAAATTCCTCTGATTTGACACCTACATGACAAAAGTAGTCTATAATACAATTTTTTTTTTATTTTATTATGAGGCAGAGTTTGTTTATTCTCCATCCTTGGGGTTGGATCAGATCAGCTCTTCAAACTCCATTCTGTGATTCCATGGCATATCCTAGTAGAGGTCTCAGAAGAACCACACTCTCCAAATGCTTCTGAGCTGCTGAAGCAGATTTAGTATTGATCCAAATTATATTAAAGAGAAAAATAAGTCAAATCCAACAAATACAAAATTGCTAATCAGAGCAATAAGGATTTTTGCTCTTTTGCATGTAATGTACAGTAGAGTCATGAGGCTTTTATTGTATCTGGCCAACAATTTGTGGCCCAATGACTGTAGTAGGGTCAGTTCCTGACACTGTTTTGGCTGCCTTTGAAAGTCTTGAATGGGTAGTACCATAAGGAGAAGATTTATCAGGTGTCAGGTGTAGCCCATATAAAAATGATTTCAGAGTAAGCTGCTCTCTCCATCCAAAATTTAATTTTCTTAAAATGTATCTCTACTACCTTGTCAATCTACTCATAGTTGATAGAATCATAACCAAAGCAAGATAATACAATATCATTCTGTATATACTGGAAGTATTCTAGATTACCAAACACTTGCAGAAGAAAAGGAACAATTCATCTGCTTCAACACATACTGGAAGTGACAGCAAGAGCTTTGTTTATTTTAAGTGTTTATTTAAAGCATTTTAAATGCTTTCCCAAAAAATTCATCCTTTTATGCATCAGGCTTTTTCAAAAGATACAACCCACTTGCTTTCCATCTTAATTTTTTTTTTTATAATGAGCTTCTTGATTTCATCCAAAGTCTTGATTTTGGAGCCATGGCTGGGATGAGAAAAATAAGCATTTGTGTATTTGCTACACAAGACGTGTTATGGTTCTTACAGCACTTGCTGCCCTGTGTGATACATTTTTCACTATGTATGGTAAACTTTCATCTAAAGTCTATAAAGAAAACAGTAACATTATTTTCTGCTGTAAGCTTAATGCCGCCTACTGCGTGAGGGGAAGCAAAATGAATGACCTGCTGTGGTGTCATAAAAAAAGAGCTCTCCACAGCATTACCTTCTGGCCAAGAGGCTGTGTTACTTTCAGGATGAGAGGGGAGAGCTAGCTGGTTCAGGTAAATCATCTGGATGATATTTTGTGCTATGGGTAGTCATGACCAGATTGCTTTTTTGGAGTTTTTTTTCCTCTGAATGGTGGTATGAGAAATAGTTCTTCTTCCATATCTGAAGCTCTGTAGCTCATCCATTTCCAATATGTTCCTTACCAACCAAAAATGATTATTGGGTTTAGTTGCTGTCATACTGTGAATTTATATTTAAAAGGACCTTTATGCTTTTCATTCTTTCTGTGAACTAAGGAAATAATGAACAGAGAATCAATCAGTAATTAAAATGTCTAGGAGTAGTGTAATGTTCCAGGTGACAGTTTCAGCAGGAGGTGTGGGCTCCCTTCCATGGGTTCACAGGTCCAGACAGGCTCCTGCTTCAGCGAGGGCTCTCCATGGGGTTACAAACTCTGCCACCTCAGGCTATTCCAGCATGGAATTCCACGGGCTGTGGTGTGGATGCCTCCTCCCCCGTGGGCCACCATGAGCTGTCGGGGGAAGACTTGCTTCACTGAGCCTCACAGAGCTGAGCAGTATACAGAGGAAACTGAGTGATGCCTGGCTGTGGTGATGGAATAAAATGTGATTGTATTTAATGGTCACATTAAATGTAATTAAATTAATTAAATACAATTAAATTAATTGTATTTAATGTAATAAAGGGTCTATTCTATGGGATATATTCACAGTTTAGGACCAGTGCTACTTCTGACATTGTCATGGTCTGAAAGTTGACTTTTCAACTATTTTTAATGAAAATTATTTATTTCTTCATAGGTAATATGTAAAGTTAAATCACAAGAAAATGGAAATCGTGTAAAATTAACCAGTTAATTTAAATCTCAAAATTTAATCATACATTGCATTTTCATCACAATGGCTGGCTAAACAAATGTGTAGAAACTCATTATAATGAGAAAGTCGATTAACCTATTTGTGTACTCACTTTCTGGATTTATAAGGTATTTTCACACAATTTTATGGAAACTGCCAGGGTGTGATAAGAAGATGATGCAAGGTCTTAAAACTTGGCCATACTTTGTTTTGAGAGGATTGAAAAATGTAACTGAGGAAAATTTTGCTTGTAAAATTTAATACATAAATAAACTGCTAAACATTTAATTGAAATTGAGAGCAAAGAGAAGAAATCATGATTGAAGAAAATAAAAATGACAAAATCCTTGTTAGCTAACTTATTTAAAATCTTCTCATTAAATTCTTTATTTCTGTTTTGACTTGTTTCAGTAATATATATATATATATACTGTCACAATATGGATATATGTTCTATGACTTATGTCTCTAATTATTCACTGTGAGTTAATTTATTCCATTAATATCTCGTTCTCTTGAATAATGGTAAAACCTAAAGAGTGCTGATTTGGATAAATATCTAGCAGCACAGATAATCACATCAACATTTTGAGCTTCACATTTTTAAAATCTTATGAAATCAACATTTCTTTGATTCTTCAAATGAATGTAATCTGCTTTTTATTTCTCATTGAATCAACTGGCTCATTTTTGTGCATTTTTGCTGTCTTTTTAGTCAAAAGAAAGTCAGCTTTGAAATGCAAAAATTGATTGTTTTATCTGGTTTATAAGTTTGTTGAGTTTGTGTTTGTTTGTTTTGTATTTTTGTGGGGTTTTTTTTGTTTTCTTTTTTCTCCTGAGCACAAAACCTATTAAAACAACATTTCTAATGGGCATATTGCAGAAAGAACTCTTACATAAACAGAATGAGATTGCTTTAATTTAATTTTTAAGTCACAGAGAAAATTTAATACCTTCCAGTCCAAAGGCAATGTGACAGCTGAATATGAATATAAATATCTGTAAAAGAAAGTTAAGGAGGAAAAAAAATTAAACTGTTTCTTATTAAATGGCATAAATACTTTTGTTCTAAAGAAGTATTAATAATAAGTTCTTTAAGCAGTTTGCAAGCAGTTACTGCTTGCTTGTGTGTAAGAATTTAAACTAGTTCAGAAATTCAGCAGATTATAGTTGTATCCATCTCTTAAAGGGAAAAATGTTTTGGTTTTGTTTTCTTTTGTAAAATAAGGAGGCATGTATAGGAGCATAAATTATTAATTTAATTTTTTTAATATAATAAAAGTGTGGAAACTTCATTTATGAAAGATGTATTTTCAAAAGGTGAGATTTTTCTTCTATTTGTATGAGAGAGTGTACTGGCGTGTACTGGCTACAAGCTATATGGAGAAAATTACCTCAGTACAAAAGAAAAGGTACATTGCTCTCTTTCTCCAGAACCAAATTTTACTGAATGATCATGAGATCAAAGGACATTAAAACAATATTCAGAATTAGAGTGTACGATAAACACACAAATTACTTTTATATTTTAATAGTTTCTTGCTGATAAATTTGAAATTCAAGTCCAATTCTAAATAGAAACCAACGTTTACTTTAAATTCATGAAATCCATCAAATTCCTACTAGATGCCTAGCAAAAATAACAATGATGTGGTTAATGCTAGATGAATATATCTCTTCTGTGCCCATAGAAACTGATTTTCTATACATTCTGAGATAATTTTCATGTAATACTATGTGTGAAAAACAGACCTCTCATTCATTTACTTATACTTACATCTTTCTTTTACAGATGACACGAGAGCAATATATATTAGCAACACAACAGAACAGCCTTCCAAGGACCGAACATCCTCAGTTTTACCCAGTAGGGATTTATGGATGGCGAAAGAGGTGCTTATACTTCTTTGTCCTTCTGCTGTTGGTTACCATGATTGTTAATTTAGCAATGACAATATGGATTTTGAAGGTTATGAATTTCACAGTGGTAAGTATTACAGCAACTTTATATACCTCATTTCTTCAAGTACTAACTTCTAGTTTCTTTTTCCTTTGCCATGTTATATAGAGATCTTATAATTTTGGAGGAAAAATTGTATGTACTTCTTTGAATGTTAGTTCAGATATTTATACTTTCTATATATATTCTGCGCTGAGTGGACTGGTGCCCTGCCTATTCTGATGTTTTTGGTTAATCATAACTTCTGAAATTATATCTGGATCTTGGATTTTTTTGTTTGTTTGTTTGCCCAAATCAAAAGTGTCATGATGACTGCCCCAAGCATCTTTTGTTTTCTTGTCATTACTAAATAATAAGCAAGAGCAGTTTACTATATCTGTTCTGTATAGTATCTCTCTTAGGAGGGAACTGGGTTGGTCACATCAATGTATCATTCCTTTTAGAGTGGTTTTTTTTTGTTTTTTGTTTTTTTGTGGTTGTTTGGGTTTGTTTTTTGGTTTTTTGGGTTTTTTTGTTTGTTTGTTTGTTTGTGTTTTTTTTTGTTTTTGTATTTTTTTAAGGTTTACTGGCAATTTGGACTGTGTTTCACCTAGAAGTTAGAGTGGCTATTTTGGTGTTGATGAGGGATAATGTGAGTCTAAAAGACACATACTTTAATGTGTCAGTCTCTGGCTAGAATATTTAATATCAGCAAAGTGTTTCAGCTGTACACTTGAAAGAACATCTGTGTTCAATGGAAACTGTGGTAGGAGTTGTGTGCTAGCTGGCAGCAGAGTAGTGATTTCTTGTATATCAAAAGAAAGGCAGAACTCTACACAGTTTAAAATAGCAGTATTTCTGCTAGGATCAGTGCAGTCTTCGTCCCTGGATTTTAACCTTCACAATCCATATTTTGATGTAGTTAGTTATAACTTTCCAATTCCTATTTCACAGCCCGTTTCTCTTCTCTGTTAGTTTATTGGAAATAAAAGAATAGCCAGAAAAACCAGCATAAAACCTGTGTCTAAAATTGTTCTCTATCTGTTGACGATCTGTAATGCATTGGGTTATCTGAAACTGGTGTCTGGTGAGACATATTGTGCAAATACATATATTCTTCTGAGTTTTCCTCTAGTGGATGAGCATGTTGAATTCATATTTTGACAACTGTATGACTTTAATATTCATGTACAGAAAAGTTTGTGTGACTCTTTTGGGGGCTTGCCTTTTTTTGGAGGGGTCTTTATTTTAATTTTTCTTTTGTTCTGTTTTTTTTCTTATTTTTAGTGCAATGTATTTTCAAAATAAGACACGTAGGATATTTTTGCTTGTTAGAATAATTATTAATTTATACTGGAAAAATATTTAGGCATAACTTTTTTGAACAATTTTAAAATATGTTTAAAAGGCACAGAATTTTTCTCTGTGCAGAAGATTGCATTCCAATAGAATATTTGAAAGTATTGTTTCCATATCTAGGGATTGTTTGACCTTCCACACTACAAGATATTATAACACTATCCAAACACTATCCAGTTTATATCTTTCCAAATTTGATCATGCAATTTTTAAAAACAAAACAAAATGAGAAATTTTGAAATATTTTTCTTTCCAGCATGTCAAAATTTGTTGGAAATTTCAAGGTTTATGATGAATTACTGAATCAGTGCAGGCTTCTTGTGCAGAAAATAAACAGATTATTGCAGCTCTTGTAATAAAACACCTTTTCCTTGATCATATTCAAATACATTTTTTAAATTATGTACTGAAGAATGAGTTTAGTTTTGCAGACTCGTGGAATGGTATAGGTAGTCTCCTACTTTGATTAGTTAGTATTCACATTGGAATCTCTGTGTGCTAGAAGATTGCTAGAAAATTTTCACATTAAAAGCTGAGTAACATCTTTATACTCTTGTCCTTGCATGCATGTTTGAGCAAAAGTGGGAAATTTGTATTAAATCTGAAAGGGTCGCATTCTTAGGGGAAGGTGTTTGAGTAAAATAATTTAGTTTAGGAACTTAAAGTTCTTGTATTTGAAAAGGCAATGGCTTTGAAATACATATATATATTTATTCTATGTGCATATATATGTACAGATAGGTGTAAACTAAGAAATATTGTTTGTATGACTGGAGAGTGATATAAAGCCAGAAGTGCAGCTAGAAACCTCAAGAGTGTTTTCTCAAAAGAGGAATATAGCCACGATAAAAATAATTGCTGAAATTTGACTGCTTTGACATTTTGACATTATTTTAAGTTATTTCCTGTTTTAGCATAAGCCAGTGTGGAGCTTTCTATAAAGAAAATAGTAATTGCAACATTTCAAGGGGTCATGAAGAGCCAGGTCATGGTTTGTCATTGCTGTCTGACAATTGCAACACTTAATTTGTATTGTCTGTCGACTTTCTATTTTTAACTGTAAAGCTACAGCCACTGACAATCTGGCATAAAAAAAGGCTTTCTGCGATTAAGTTTCTAGTTGGAAAAGTTTTCTGAATATACTGACCTTGCACATAAAAGTCACATTCTGAATCTGAGCTAGTTATCCCATGCTCTTTTTATACTCAGAGTGTAGAAATAAGGTCTTCTGTAAAGCATTCATCTCGTAGTAAGGTAGGCAACTGTCATGAATTTTTCTTAAGGACAGATGTTGAATATCTTATCAAAGAAGTAATTTAAAAAAAAGTTTCTTTTCAATTATGTAAAAACATAGTACAGACAAGGTGTGCTACTCTCCTTTTATCAGATTATGTAATATGACTAGCAAAAATAGAGAAATGTTCAGGGATGTAATCTCTTCTTCCAGTGGTAAGAAGGTAAGAAACTGGAAAGGTAAATACAAGTTACAAGTAATTTCCCTGATATATAATATATATCAGATGAGCAAACTAAAAGTAATTCATATTTGTGGAGCAGGAATATTAGATGGAAGAATCATACACATAGTAATAATTTTTGAAAGATGTTTTCCCACTGGTAGCTTATAGAATAAGACTAATATATATTTAATATATAGTCGAGTTTTGTTACCTCCCTGTTCAATTATCTTTTTAGAAAGATGTGACTAAGGAGGCCAGTGGCATCTTGGCCTGTATCAAGAACAGTGTGGTCAGCAGGACTTGGGACATGATAATCCCTCTGTACTCAGTACTGGTGAGGTCACACCTCAAATACTGTGTTCAGTTTTGGGCCCCTCACTTCTAAATGGACATTAAAGGTCTGGAGAATGTCTGGAGACAGGCAACAGAGCTGGGAAATGGTCTAGAAAACATGTTTTATGAGGAATGGCTGAGGGAGCTGGAGCAGTTTAGCCTGGAGAAGAAGAGGCTCAGGGTGCCCCATTGCTCTCTACAACTGCCAGAAAGGAGGGTGTAGTGGGATGGGGCTTGTTTTCTTCTGCCATGTCTCAAATGAAAGGATGAGAAGAAACATCCTTAAGCTGTGCCAGGGGAGGTTCAGATTACATATTAGATTTTTTTTATTTTTTTTTTCCCCACTGGAAAATGTAGACATTGAAATAAGTTGCCCAGGCAAGGTGTGATGTCATTGTCTCCGGAAGTGTTCAAAGGGACCTGGGGATATGGTTTAGGGGTGGTCGTGGTGGTATTGGGGGGATGGTTGGACTGGATGATCTTGAAGGTCTGGTTTTCAAAGAAGACATGCAAAATATCATGGAAAAATCAAGCCAAGAACTAAAATCTGTAACTTTTGTCAGTATATAAAATAATAGTCTTAGGGGACTTGGGTTTCATGGAACACTTACAGTTTCCTTTCCTTGTACTAACCTTGGCATGGTTCACAGGCCACCCCATGGAAATGTCTGTCTTTCACTTTCCATCAGAATGTAATTATCTCTCACTTAGTCTATGTTTTACGAGTTTAATGAAGCTCAAAGCTGTTAGTCACTTTTTTCTCTCCATACAGTTACTATACTAGGGATTTCAGGAAGGATGGATGCTCAAGTCATGACTTGGTACCAGCGCCAAGGGGTAAAATATTAATGGTTTTGTATTTAGAACATCCTGGTTATAGATATATATAATATATGTGAATTTTAAAGGCTTGTGAAGAAAAAAATATTTTTCTTTAATGTGCCTGCATTCTTGTTGACTTGTTTTAACATGGACCACAGCATAAGTAATTAGCTGGTTGTTTTTTTTTTTTAAGATCTAATTACTTCAGCATTATTCTCTGATAAAATTTTTGATTTTGTATCATTTTTAAGTTATTCTAACCTCAACAGAGCTATAATTTTATATAACTTATTCTTCATATAGCTGTAAATGGATAAAGCATATTGACACTCTGTCAGTCTGATTAATTACTTTGTAAAAGAGATTTACTGTATATTTTTGTTACTAACCAAATACCAGTGTAGCAATACATGGCTGAAAGTTTTCTGCACATATTTCAAATTAGCTTTATAAAAGGGAATTCAAAGCATTCTGCTTATTGTAGGGATGTGACATTGTGAAATAACATGGAACAATCAGCATAGAAGTGTAGATCTTGGTGGAGGTGGGATTTAATAAGATCTCTTTTATACATTTTCTAATATGTGCACAATTGGCATTGATATCAACACTTAACAGTTTTTCCTTTCTTTTTTTCCTGTTTTTTCTTTCCTTATTAAATGACATTGTTGTCTGGAGTTTACTAAAGCTGAAAAAAAATGGTAATATTAGAAAAAATGTTCACGTGAATGCCTTTAGTTCTTAGATTTCTTTTTGTGGCTGGTGGCAGCCACGTAGAACCAAGTTATCTTACTGGTTTTGGTTGTATATTTGGTTTTGTGTGTCTTCATATTCTGATTACCCCTAGGAATACATATATGAAAAGACATTTTGTGACCCCCTGTAAGAACGAAGCTACCTGCTTCAGATATTTTCTCTTGCTGTAGTTGCAGTTTTGAAGTCAGTTTTGACTGCTGTCATGACACAATGATGTCTGTATTGATCCATGTTAAACTCCTCTTGCCAGAACTACCATGGGAATTACTTTCAAGATCAGGAACCAGACAACTTATCATCTGGGTAGAGATGGTAAGT